AATGCACCGAAGATCAACTTATACTGGTGAAAAGTGATAACAAATAAGCACCCGTTGATTTCTTTTTGAAATGTCCCTTTCACTCGTTACGTAAATTACAATAGTTGCCTTTGTCTAACATCAGCACGTGTATCGATAGTGTTGGGATTTTTAAGTCGATATTTTTTTGGTAATCGTTTAATTATTTTTTTGAAGTCATATTATTTTATAAAAATAATGACGTATCATTGTGATACCTACATATATGTTATAGGTTTCCTAAATGTCCCGAAAGGAAAAAGATGTGGATCGACGCAACTTGTCGAATGGTTTCCCACCAAAAATAGTGTGCTATGCTCAAGACACTTCACAGACGACAATCTTCATATTATGAAAAACCATAGAAGGCTGTTGGATTCCGCTATACCATCTCTATACTTGCCAGCTTTGGCATAGACTTTTACATTTTTTTAAGATTAGTACCAATGTAGATAACACAATAATAGCATTAAGTGGTTGAGTGAAACATGATATTCTAATATTAAGGTGAATGTTACATGTCGAAATCAAACTATTTTTAACGGATTTATAAATCATAAAATATGTAAAAGTTATAATGCGATTATTGTTTTGACTTGGTATTCTAGTGTAACATGAACTTCAGTAATAATAATATATAAAAATAAAAAAATAAAAAATAAAAATGCCTTTTATTTCTTGCAAAAGTAACAAAATGAATAAACTAAGCTTAAGATTAAGATAGACATTTAATCTGCAAGAACCCTTCCGCAGGTGAAGGCCTCCTCCAAAGAGTCCCAATTCTCTCTATCTTGGGCTTTTTGTATCCAGCTTGGGCCGGCCGTTTTGCATATATCATCCGCTCATCTCGTAAGCGGTCTCCCTCTGTAGCGTTTTCCGCTTGGACCTCTCCACCGTGTCACCCTTATGGTCCACCGCTCGTCTGACAGTCTCGCTACATGCCCCGCCCACTTCCATTTTAGTTTTTTGGCATAGTTTAGAGCATCAGTAGCTTTAGATATGCTTCTAATTTTAGTGTGTCTTATTTTTTGGATTTTCCTAATTTTTAGCATGCTTCGTTCTAGGACTCCTTCTCTACCCCTTGCTCTATTAGCGCTTTCCAGATATATGAATGTGATACGGTATCGAAGGCTTTTTTGTAGTCAATATAGGCGACGTATAGAGCTCTTTGTTTTTCTTGATATTTTTCAATCAGTAATTCCAGAGTGTGGATATGGTCTATAGTCGAGAAACTCTTCCTAAATTCCGCTTGTTCTATGGATTGTTCCGTTTCCAGTGGAATACTTATTCTTTGATTTATGAGAGAGGAAAATAATTTATATATACAAGGCAATAAGCTTATTGGCCTGTAATTTGCAATATCACATGGGTCGCCCTTTTTATAAATTAGTATTATATCTGACTGTGACCATTGTGTCAGTGTTTTGGAATTTTTCAAAATGCAGTTGAATAAATGAGTTAACGGTAGAGCCAGGAACGAATGAACCATTTTATAGCTTCGTTGGTGATATTGTCTGAACCAGGGCTCTTATTGGTTTTTAATCTATTTATTGCTTGTATAACTTCTGCTTTGAAGAATGATGTACATCTCGTAGAGTTAACGTCTGTCCGATATGAATTATTTCGGTCAATATTTTCATAGTTATGAGCGCTATAAAGTTTTTTTGTAAAAATCTGTTGCAATTCCTTTAACTTCTTTACGACTATTCAGGTTTTTTCCTTCGCTATTTAATCTATCTATCCATGTCTTGTTTGTTCTTAATTCCTTGAAACCTTTTTTCGAACTGCCTGACTGTACTAGATGTTTTTCAACAGTGTCCGATCTGTATCTTGTATAGTCGTAATTTATACGCTTGCTTATTAGCTTGTATAACGCTGATAATTCATTTTTCATTGACCTAGTTTTGTTTTTGGTATTTTGCAGTATCTGTCTCCTCTTCATAAGTGCTAGAGTGCTCTCTGATAAGATTTTATGTCTTTTTTTTTGTATTTTTATCAGGTATTCGAGCTTCTTGGAGGCTTTGGGTGATAGCTTTTAGTATTTATCGTAATAAGTTTGGACTGAAATATTTTCTTGAGGTTCTAGTAGGTTTGGTAGGTGGGCTGTAATACACTCTCCGTATTTGCTTATTTCTTCCTCGTTGTTCAATGTACAGTTTTGTTTATTTTTAAATCCAGTTCGGTTCTTTTTTATTTTTGACATTGTTATTGTTGCTCTAACTGGTCTATAATCTGAAGAAAAATTAAATTAAGTTTAGTTTTCTTTTGAAATACGTATTTAAAATTGCTATTTTATTTTCGAGAGCGAAGTCGATAAGTCTTTGTCCTCTGTCATTTCTTTCGCCATATCCGTTTGATTTCATTACCAAGTATTCATCTGCTCTAAGTTGGCCTATTTTGTCATTAAAGTTGCCCATAATTATATACGTATTATATGCAAGGTCCATGGCTTTATACAAATTTGCATAAAAACTTTCTATCTCTTCCTTTCTGGCTGCTTCTGTGGATGCATACACTTGTATATACGACATTTTGTTGCCTTGTATATTTAAGTTTAGTAGTACGATTCTATCAGAGATGCCTTTTATGCTGAGCTTTCTATGCTTTTCTTTTGATATAAGCTTATTAAAAAATCGACTCCATAGTGTCCTTGTGTGAGTCCTGTATGACAGAGTATACAATTTTCATATTCTTCTATTTTTGTGCCTAAGCGTCGCGTTTCTGATAGTCCAATTATATCAAAGTTTATATTTTTAGTGCTTCTGTCAGTTCTAGTAGGCGCCCATAAGAAGACAAGGTTCTGACGTTATATGTTAGGATATAGAGTCTATGTGTTCTTCCAGACGTAGAGTTTGGTATTTCTATATTTTTTGTTTTCTTTGGAGGGTTTTGGTCATAATCTTCGATGGTGACCAACCGGGTTGGAAGATGTTTATTGTTGATTTTTTGAATTGGTTCGTTTATATAATCCGTGCGGGAAGGGGAGGGGGGGGGGGCTTGATTGTCATTTGTTGTTCTCTCTGTTTTCAACGTCCTGCTTTGGTGTTGTGTTGCTGGCATTTTTATTAACTAAAAAGCTTAACATGCTAGGTTTTACGATTTCTTCTGATAGACTATTCAATCTTCGCGCAGTAGGATGTGTTTTCAACATTTTGTTCTTTTTATTGGCATGTATGCTTGCTTCACCTTGTAGTTGGGAATTATTTACCGGTGAAATGGGAAGTAGCCTTTTACTACTGGGTTTTATTATGACCAGTTTATCATATTTTATTTTCATTATATTACCCTTCTCTTTCTCCAATTTCACTTGCTCTTGCATTCTCTCCTTATCTCCAATACTTGTTGTGGGTAATCTTCCTTCAAATAATATTGAGTGTCCCTACTACCATTATTATTAAGTACATCTAAATTTGGAAGACGTGCCGTATGGTGTATTAATTAATAATACTACTTCTAGGCACCCGTCCCTACCATAGATGCAAGTGCAGATATTGAGGCTAAAAATACGGAAATTCCTGTGGCCGGAATATTGTTGAAAAAATTGGTATGATTATAATAAGAATTAATTAAATGATTATAATTTCTATAAATGAATAATAAACGTATTATAAGTACCTTAATAATTATTGGTAATATTTTAAAAGAAACGAATACGTATTTCAGATTACTGGTTCACCGCTGGAAGACGCAAAAAAAAACTCGCCAACACTTAAAAATCAAAGCCATTGCTTAGAAACGACTACAAAACAAAAAAAGAAAATTTTCTCCTATACCTGATACGCATTTGATATCCAGTTAAAAACATCTTTATAGAAGAATCATCAAATTAACCAACGTAATGAACAGAAAAGACAAAAAAAAAGTTAAGTGACTTCAACAGAAGACTAAAAAGACAAATAGTTTCTTTGAAGTCATTATTGGTAGAATTAGGAAACCAAAATTTATTAACAGACGAAAACAAAAAAATTAAAAATTTAAGTGATTTCAACAGAAGACTAAAAAGACAAATAGTTTCTTTGAAGTCATTATTAGTAGAATTAGGAAACCAAAATTTATTAACAGCCGAAAACAATGACTTATGAAGTTCCTTAGGAGTCAAATGTGGTGAAATTATGCGTCATCAAATATTGAAAGGAAAATCAGGCAAAATTGTTAGAAAAAATATTCACTACAGTTGAGAGCTTTTACACTCATCATAAATTTGACTCAACTGAGGCTTATAATTATGTACGCAAAACATTTAATACTTATTTATCCTCTGTAAAAGCACTAGAAAAGTGGTATAGATCTGTAGATGGTCGTCCACAACACAACACAAAACATTGAGCAGTTTTGTTAGTGAGGATATTTTTCCTGAAATAAAAAATAACCAATTCGATCACGAAAGTTGTAATCATGTCATTGATTTAGCTAAGAGTGTCAAAATACATGAGTGTCAAAATACATGTCAGACATAAGATTACTCTACTTATCCAGGAAGACTTCTGTGGGATAATTTTATACTAAGCTTAACCATTTTAAAAATCAGTCAAATATATATTTATAAATTAAACGTACAAATATATGTATACACTGTTTTATTTTTTAATATACATCAAATAAAAATTGATCAATATATTTATTTATCAATAATCAATAAATCCCAAATTTATCGATCAACGTCCCAATCCTGTTCCATCACTACGGTTTGTTGCATTCTAAGTTTGACCTGTAAATGTCCAATCACAGCGCATTTGACACGTCCCCCGCAACCCTTGCATACCGTTACATTTGGTGAACTCAGAACAAATATTCAATGATGCGGTATCTATTAGGGGGTAATCTATGCCTTGATACAAGATGGTTACATCTCTGCTAGGAGAGGCTATAAGGTTGACTTGATCAGGAGGTGATTTTTCTACGTGAGTCGTCGAAAATTTATTTGTCCTAAGTAAATATTTTCGGTATTAATTTGTGTGAAACAATACACTCACTCCTCGTAGTTGCAAGTATGGCGTAAGGTGCCCGGGAAGCCGGGGAACGTGCACGTGCGGCGACGGGGGAGCGCGGGGGAGCGGGGCGAGGTGTCGCCGGGCGGCCGCCGCGGCCACTCGGCACACGCGCTACGCGACTGCCTGCTACTGTACGGCGGCTACATGGACCTGCGAGGCTCCACCAACGAATTGTGGGCTTTCCATTACGGTAATATAATATGATCCCATTTTAGTTCCACAGACTACAATGACATTTATGGACTATACAAAAACTCTGACAGAAATAGCAACGAGCCTAAATTAAATGAAATGGCGATATTCTGATATGTCACCTTTATATTGGTTGTATTATACTGCAAATGTCTAACACATAATTTGTCATTACGTTCATGCTGTTAATATCAAACACATAATAGTCTGAGGTGAAACAGTCGCACAGAGTAGAAATCTTAGCCAAATAATTTAAAAATGTTGCCAACAAATAATTACTACACAAATAATTACTATTTTTGTGTAATTTCAAATATTTTCTTTCAGTAGAGTGTATGTGTATATCACGGCCAAGAAGCGTTTATTTTATATTTTGTGTCTGATGTATCTTTATTTAAATGAAGTTAAAATTGAAATACAGCTTGCTTAATATACAAACTTAAAAATTTAAGTAATTACGGTCGCATGAGTGCTAATAATTTTATGCCCACCAGATGTCACTAGTTGTGAGTGAGATGTACTTATTTTATACACAACATTAGTATAATTGAGAACTTACGTTTTAAATAAAAGTTTATCGGTATCTAGAGTGTGTAAATACACAAAACAATGTCTCTGTGGTTTGCTCTTCAATTTTGTTTTCACATTTTTAACAATTTTTTTTTAATTAAATTTGACAAAAAATTACTTTGCGTACATCCGCTAGATAAAATAAAATGATGTGTCTTACCTAGTTTGAAGAGCACCTCCCGCCCTCCCTCAATTGCGTACACTATCCCCCTCACCACTAATCCCAGCACCACTACTCCCAACACCACTACACTAAGAAAGATACACCACTGACGACGATACGACACGTGTTTCGCCTCTACACGAGACAGCCTCAGGTGATATAGACATATATAGATATGTCCAGTGTCCAAAAGATGTTTAGCAAAATGAAATGATGAAATAAAAAATGTCTTTTGGACACTGGACACAACTTAGTCAACGACCACTCCTTTAAAGTCTTACATACGTGTAATAAAGGGTTGCGACTGTGTGTGCTGGAACAGTTAGAGATATTAAAAAGTAATAAAAGTAACGTTGCACTGCTGAATGAACAAACAAATGTTTCTAACTCACCTCTCCTAAATATCTTTAAGCCTGCTCTCTAATAACAGACAGCCTCGCAATATGATCGTTTGTCACCCTCACGGTGATCGGCGATTGGTTGCGTGGTTGGAGGGTAGGCGGGCGTTGCGCGGCGGTTTGTTTTTAATTTTACAAACGGCTGCGTAAGTCCGGCGGTGATTGGTCGCATGTTTTATCGCATGACGCAGTTGCTCGGTCCTTAAGCAGGGAGCGGTTGCGTCAGCGGTCTGTATAAAAGACAGTTGTTTTGGCTCGTCGCTCACTTAGCGGTTAGCCACCGTAGAGTCTATATCACCTGAGGATGCCTCGTGTAGAGGCGAAACACGTGTCGTATTGTCGTCAGTGGTGTGTATTTCCTAGTGTAGTGGTGTTGGGAGTAATGGTGCTGGGATTAGTGGTAACGGGGATAGTGCACGCAATTAAGGGAGGGCGGGAGGTGCTCTTCAAACTAGGTAAGACACATTATTTTATTTTATCTAGCGGATGTACGCAAAGTAATTTTTTGTTAAATGTAATATAATGGATTTCCGCAAAGTAACGCCTGATTCTATTGATTATTTTTTTATTCTTCTAGTTTTAGGGATATCCGTATTTTGGTTTATCCATTAGATCTAATCTAAGTATTAAAAATATAACTAATATTTCAAAAAGAAATAGTAACACGTGCATTTTATGCACTATGAAATAAATGAAAGGAGAAAAAGTTAGAAGTTAGAGACAAAATAATTTCCCTTACCTTACCTCTCAACCGTTTAGTGATGGTGTAAGAATATCCATTACCACATATTATCCCGTGGGTGTCGTAAGAGAGACAGAGGGAAACAAAGGATGGGCAGCAGCAGTGTCTTCCTAATAATATGTAACTAAAATAAAAAAGCGGTTGCTAACCCGATTGCTAAGCAAGGAAACTATTTCAAATATCCCCCCTACGTAAATTACCTCGTAGGGAGGCTACAGACCAAATTTCTATCATTAGTCACAACGAAGACTAGCCATCTGCACAGGACAGGATTATAATTGACAAAAGACTTATAGTCAGAAGGGAGAGCAATCTCACTCCTGACCAAATAGAGATCAGGCGTAGGACCAACGGCTTTATGCGCTATGTTTAACAGTGCACTTAAAAAGGCTGTTACGGTAACGGTGATGCACAGAGTCGGAGTCGTGGCGGCTGGTGAGGGGCGCACATGCGGGCCCGGCGCGGCACCGGCACGCGGCCGCGCTGCTCGGCGCGCGCCTCTACGTGCACGGCGGCCAGTGCGACCTGCGGGACTGCGCCGACCTCTGGCACTACGACATCGGTACGTACGTGCGTCACGTCACCAAGCACTCTGCTCGGCGCGCGCCTCTACGTGCACGGCGGCCAGTGCGACCTGCGGGACTGCGCCGACCTCTGGCACTACGACATCGGTACGTACGTGCGTCACGTCACCAAGCACTCTGCTCGGCGCGCGCCTCTACGTGCACGGCGGCCAGTGCGACCTGCGGGACTGCGCCGACCTCTGGCACTACGACATCGGTACGTACGTGCGTCACGTCACCAAGCACTCTGCTCGGCGCGCGCCTCTACGTGCACGGCGGCCAGTGCGACCTGCGGGACTGCGCCGACCTCTGGCACTACGACATCGGTACGTACGTGCGTCACGTCACCAAGCACTCTGCTCGGCGCGCGCCTCTACGTGCACGGCGGCCAGTGCGACCTGCGGGACTGCGCCGACCTCTGGCACTACGACATCGGTACGTACGTGCGTCACGTCACCAAGCACTCTGCTCGGCGCGCGCCTCTACGTGCACGGCGGCCAGTGCGACCTGCGGGACTGCGCCGACCTCTGGCACTACGACATCGGTACGTACGTGCGTCACGTCACCAAGCACTCTGCTCGGCGCGCGCCTCTACGTGCACGGCGGCCAGTGCGACCTGCGGGACTGCGCCGACCTCTGGCACTACGACATCGGTACGTACGTGCGTCACGTCACCAAGCACTCTGCTCGGCGCGCGCCTCTACGTGCACGGCGGCCAGTGCGACCTGCGGGACTGCGCCGACCTCTGGCACTACGACATCGGTACGTACGTGCGTCACGTCACCAAGCACTCTGCTCGGCGCGCGCCTCTACGTGCACGGCGGCCAGTGCGACCTGCGGGACTGCGCCGACCTCTGGCACTACGACATCGGTACGTACGTGCGTCACGTCACCAAGCACTCTGCTCGCCGCGCGGCTCTACGTGCACGGCGGCCAGTGCGACCTGCGGGATTGCGCCGACCTCTGGCATTACGACATCGGTACGTACGTACGTTACGTTACCAGGCACTCTGCTCGCTATTATAATTATACATCAGTATTTTTTTTAGGTGAACTGATTTTGATGATTTTTTTATTTGAAAGCTGGTATTTCACATGTGGTCCCATATAAATTTGATTAAGGTTTGGTCAATAGTTCTGAGTTATCCTTAATAATTTATATTGAAGTCGGTTGTACAAAATATTTAATTTTACTACTTCTTACCATCAATCACTAATAAAAAACTAGATACACAATCCGATGCAAAGTTCTTTAAGCACTGTCGCCAATTGTTTTGACGTAATTCTAGTTGAAAAAAAATATACATTAATGTAATTTTAATTTTTAATGCATTGCCTAAAGTTGTATTTACAAAGCTATGTAAAAATTGAAAGCGTATCCAAATGTTGGAATTGGCGCATCATTCGGTAAGGACATTTTTTTGTCACTGATTGTGTAATCTTAGGTTGAAACTAATCGTAGTATATCGCGCGGTGCAGTGAGCCGCGCGTGGACGCAGGTGCGCGTGGCGGGCGGGGCGCGGGGCGGGGTGCGGGGCGGCGCGCGGGGCGGTGCGCCGGGCGCGCGCTGCGGGCACGCGGCGCTGCGCGCGGGCGCGCACCTGTACGTGTTCGGCGGCGAGGCGCGCGGCCACGCCACCAACGAGCTCTGGCGCTTCCACTTCGGTACGCACGCAGCACGCACCACGCCACGCGCACCACCACACACCACACACCGCCACAACCGACACCTAATACGTGATAGGACATCCTTTCTCCCTCAGACCGTCTGGGCAAGTGCCACATTCTCACATATTTCTGTGGCCAAATACAAATAGCTCTGCATGCTATGCTTTGAGAAGCTTGAGGGAAGAACTAACCACGAAACAATTAAAAATTGTATATTATGCTCTAATAGAATCTCGCTTAAGATACAGTATTAAGTTTTGGGGAAATAGTTATGCCTATAATGTAAAAAAAGCGTTTGTTCTACAAAAAAGAGCAATTAGAATAATATCTCGCATACACCAGAGGCAATCATGCAGAGAACATTTTATAAATTTGAAAATCCTTACTGTGCCCTGTTTGTATATTCTTACTTTACTCACTGATCTTGTCAAACATCCGAATAGATATGAAACTGATGATGAAATGGCAAGAAGATACGACACGAGACGAAAGAATATACCCAATGTCTTCAAAACAAAACTACAGGTTGTTGAGCATAGCGTTAGAAATCAAGCTGTAAAACTTTTTAATAGACTACCTAATGGCCTAAAAACCATAAATAATGTTAAAATTTTTAAGCAAAGGTTAAAGTCTTTTTTATTGGAAAAATGTTTCTATTCGGTGAATGATTATATTGAGTTTGGTAAAAATTAATATTGCATGCATTATTTAATTAATAATTAAGTTGTAGACATTTTTAGGAAACAAGTATAATGCTAATTAATTTAATTTAATTTAATTTAATATTTTATATTACAATTAAGTTTTCCCACACAATGTATATTGTTTTTTGGAATAAATGACTAATGACTAATAGCAAAGCGCGCAATGCTGTATTCAGGTATAAGGGTATAGAAAATCAGTATAACTACAGGCTGTGAGGTATTCCATCTTACCCCTCAGAACTCACACCGCATCTCTAGCCTTCTTTGTTTGAAGGTGTTCACAGGCTGCAATAATCACTTACCATCAGATAGACTGTAAATTCATTGTCACTTTTTGCAACTTTAAAAAAATTAAAAAACAACAAAAAAAACCTACTTACACCGTCATACTAATAAATAAAAATAAACGAAACTCCATAGTGCATTTCAAATTATTTACAAACCTGAAGTGACTAACAAACTTAAATTCCTACTAAAAATTAAAACTACAGCATCCCATGAACATCTACAACCAACTTTAAAAAAAAGGCTACAGACCAAAGACGTATTAAAAAAGATAGACAGGTTACACACTAACATTATTGTATTTTAAAGTGGCGCAGGTAGTACTATATCTACGTACAGTTATTTATTATGACACGTTGCGCTAACAAAAAAAGACAAACGATACGACATACCTATCGTTAGAAAAAGATACACATCATTAGTTGTGTATTGATTGCTGCTGAGTGCTCATTGGCGCAAGCGCGTGACATACCGATATGGAAATGAACACACTATCTATAACGTCAAAGTTTACACTAGCGGTTAGTGAAATAATAAAACCAATTATGAACAAAACATCTATATTCAAAATATTAATGAGACGTTTTTCTTGTCTCTAACAGTTGCCGTGTAATTTGTGCACCACCTAAAAACACAGGAAGGTATTTTACCACGAATAACTAGAAAATTTACGCACTGTAGCGTAGGTATAGCCGCGAAGCGAGATCGTGCCCGACTGAATGCGAGTCGGGCAATTACCTAACTTTCTAATTGCCATTTTAGAGCGACTATGACGTATCTATACTTTAAAAACATCTTAGCTACAGATGCGATGTCACATTTGAAAACAAAGATGGAATGCTTCATAACCTATAAATATAATGGCTCTCTATATCCTTCAGACCAAAACACAACAGTGTAAGCATTCGACAGAAATAAGTAACAGGCTATTACTCACCCAGACAGAAAAGGAACCCTATCACCTAAACACAAACACAGAGCAAACAAAGAAAGACAGAACGTACATTACAAGTTTTTCACTTCTATATAAAAAGGAGTGCATGTACTCCTTTTTTACCACCAATCCATAAAAAATTCCACTACTGTACACAAACATATGCATCTAAAACCATTTTGTTGGTTGTAAAAAATAATTTAATATTATTTAATATAATTATGTGTGCATGAGCGAATGTTCTTACAATGAGGACATTCACGACTTTTTCTGTCACCAAGGCGGCGCCACTTAACCCCTGGCGTTGTGCCGTAACCGAATGTATGGGGTGTAGAGTACAAGGAGAACCATCTTATAAGGGGCGCAAGTTGAAACTAGAGGTTCCAAAACCTACCACAATAGCGCTGGTGTCTGAAAAACTACGATATGAAGATAGCTGTTGTGAACGGAGTAAAGTCAGCTGAATTCAAATATTTAAAGAACCTCATAATTACTTAGTAAAACCCAGTATACAAAATCTCAACTATTTACGTAGTACAAAACCAAGCGGATTGGTCGGTCCTTGTTTATTTCTCCATCTTATTCTAATTACTTTTGGAGCTTTTTTAATTTATCCTATGCTACTGCAGCGCCACCCTTATTGGACACGTTTTTAGGGACACTTTTCATATATAGAGATGGTCCTCCTTCTACTCTACACTCCATAACCGAATGGTTATTTACTTATCAAAGTTATAGACCCCGCCAAAGAGTATAGGAATGAGTAATATATAGAATGGACCCCTTAGAACAATATATAAGAATGTTCAGAACTTAGAGTACAAATAAGCAAGGTATAGAGCACGCGAATCGCTCAATGCCCATTATGACAAGCGTAACCAGATGTTCTATAGATACTGATACATAGTTGAGAGTGGTTGAATAGCGATGCGCCAAGATTGATGCCTATGCGTTATTAATTTGATTATGTAAGTACTTGTAAATATTAGATAAGCGATAATTGTAAAGTATGTTTTAGCTCAATAAAACATAGATACGAATTTATAACACGACGTTTATTAACAAAAATCTAATTAATTTACTCCCCCTTAAAAACCATGTTATACAGTGTTACTGGAAACTCGACAAGTTCCTAGCAGGGCATGATAGTCAAAATGCTACAAATTTGACCCACCATATGTATGGCGGAAAATAAACAGGTCTTGAGATAAAAAGATTTTAAAGGTTTTTCAATAATTACCCAGAATTTCGTATTAAATTCTAAATAAAAACAACATTTTTTGGTATGCTTTCTCTTAAGTTTATTTATTTTCTTGAAGCTTCAACCAAGCGAATACAATCATAAAAAGTACAAAAAGTATTCACAGTAAAAAATTGTGGGTTTTAATAAAAAAAAATCTATTTTTACATTTAAGAGACGTAAAAATATTTAAAAAATTATGGCTATTTAATCAGGTATCCAAAAAGGTAATAATATCCCGGTGAAATCAATGAATAACAAAAAAAAGGCCATTTACTTAACGCAGGTAGAGAACGGCAAAGAATGATTGCTCTTAGGAACGAACTTGCACACTTGTAATCACTTGGCGTCTGATTGGTTGTTGACAACTATTCAGAAAGCAGACGGCCATTTTAAATTAAGTCGCTGCGGCGCTCGTTAGTCGTTATTTAGTTTCTACTATCGCTGCGCAAACACGTGTTTAAACTTCCTTCTAATAAACTCTCATTGCGTTAATTAATTTGTTATTGTTTTCAGTCGTTATCGTTATTGTTATTATTGCTGTTACCGTTATATGTTACTGACTGTTCACTGTTACTGTTTTTGTGCGACGAAGTTAAAATGTCGTCATATTCTAATAAAGAATATGCCCACATCATCTACTGTTATGTTTTTGCTGACGGCAACGTTGCTGGGGCTCGTAGAGAATATCAAAGTTACTTTCCTGATCGCCGGCTTCCCCACATTTCTGTCTTCGGAGCTACCTATCGACGATTAAGTGAAAGCGATTTACCTTCGCTTTCAAAAATGTACGTAGCACTGATGACTGCTCGCAAAATGGTACTCATACGAAGAAAATGGTATCCTAGCAGGTTCGCCTCTTCGAACAAAAAACATCGATGTTTGTGAATTAACAAAACATCAGATTGATTCGATGAATCGATACATTACATTGAGTGGCTAGGTATGGGAATTCTCAATTCAGTCTAAATCTCTAGGTCAGAATTAAATAAAATACACACAATAATTTGTAGGAAAATATTCCATTAACTTTTTAATGATACCTAAATTAATCAGTACAAAGTTAAATATTTTGATTTATGTTTATTTTTGTTCACGTATCGGTATTTTTGCATAATATTTCCCGTTCGTACTGTCGGATTTCGCTGTCATGGACGTTGAACATCAATACAATTTTCTAAAAATATTTTTTTTATTTATGGGCAACGTCTTGCAATCGTCGTTTTTCTAGCGCTCACTTGACCTTCATACAAATATGGCGGTATTTTAATTATTGATATTTTTTTTATTTTTGGTTAAGAACATAGTAATAACTCTAAGTTAAAACTTCATAAAAAAATATTATCTTTGGACTGACCTACTATACTCTTTGGCTTAACCATAGGTTTTACTAAGTTGGTGTTAGTTAATATCGCGGCTTAAGTGGTTACGGTGAAAGCTTCAGGGTGGCCCGCGAAATTCAAATTTTCTTACGTTTTTTGGACTTTACAGGTCAGGGTCAGGTTAAATGTTTAACAAAATATGATTCGCGACCGTAACGAGTATGTGTTTACAGAATTATTACGAGTATCATTAAAATCACTAATACAACCTTCCAAGCTCATTATTCCTTTGAATGAGTTTTTCTGGAAATAGCAATACAATAGGATTATACGAACTTAGGGGGTTGTATTGATGATTATAATGATTATAATTCTGTAAATACATACTCGTCACGATCGCGAATCATATTTTATTAAACATACAATCTGACACTGACCTACAAATTGCAAAAAACGTAAGAAAATTTGAATTTCGCGGGCCACCCTAGAGCTTTCACCTTAAACATGAGGTG